AAAAAAAAAAAAAAAAGAAGAAGAAGAAGAAGAAGAGGAGGAGGAGGAGGAGGAGGAGGAGAAAGAAAGAATAGTGTGGATAAGAAAAAAGCCAAAAGTAAACACAACTGAGCTGAGAACGTCACTGGGTGATCAGAGTCCCCAAATCCTGTTCCCTGCAGGACTGGTTATTGGAAGTCTTGAGAAGGTGACCTATTTTAATCCCCACATTAAGAGTTCCCCAAACTGGCTCAACAGGCCATGGGGTTCAACAGGATGGGATCCTCTTCCCTTTTCTGACCTCCCAAGTTGCAGTGCTCTGGATTTATCTGTGTTTGTGGTTTCCACATCCCACATACAGTTCAGGCCAGACTCAGCTCCACCTAGTGGAACCGAAAAGCATTTCTACACGGATGCCACAGGTCCTCAGCTGACACTCTTCTGCCACTCCGTGGCTGGCTGTGCTGTTAAACATGGAACTGGGGGTCCCCAGTGGTATGCAAGATGGGAAATGAACCAGGCCACTGATGGTCACACAATTAGTCCTGGTCACACAGGGCCTAAGAACTAAGACAAGCACTGGACACATTCTCCCAGGGGTCTGGTTGGCGAGACACTCACAAAGCAGGTGGGATTCTGAAGCCGAGGCCATCCGAGGTGTCCCGAACACCCAGGAAGACGTGCCTGCAGGCCCCAAACACAGACTAGCTGCACCTGCAGGCTTGAATGTCGGCTCTCCTTTAGACTTAGCCTAACCCAGCCATCCGGCCTCCCGGGCGGCAGAAGCCGAGACCACTCAGTGGTTTCCACAGACTGATGTGCGTGAGAACAAGCCAGGGATCCCATGGCCAAGAGGAGCCAAGCCTTGGAATGGGCAAAGGAAAAAGTTCTAAAACCCTGACTCAGTTCAGATTCGGTTATGGGGCCGCGCAGGGCTGTCACTGGGGCAAAACCAAATTATGTTCTTAAACTGAAACCACAAGGGCAGATCAAAGCCGGAGAGAAGAAAGTTCAAGACGGGGTGAGTGGGAGGTGGGGGGGAGGGTCACCTGCTCACTGAACCGGAGACCAAAGACTGCTCCATCCAGATGTTGGACGCTGGCTGACAGAACAAAGCTGACTGGTGGAGGGCGGCACTGACTTCACAGCCACCACATCAGCGCTCTAAACCACCCCACCAAAAACTTGCCACCGGGGCAGAAAGAAGGCTCAGTGGGCTGGAGGACCCATCTGGTAGGAGAGCATGCGTGCACACACACAGAGTTGACACTCGGTCAAGTCAGTAAATCTCTGGCACGCCATCCACACACTGTTCCTCTTGGTAGGAGGCCTGACCTCAAACCGTAAATGGCAGACGCTGGAAACCAGAGGGTTTCTTACCTCGGCCAGACCACCCCCTGGTTGTGAGATGCTGTCTTGAGCAGCGGGAGATGGCAAGCGGACTCCTGGTTCTCACAGGTGGGATGCCAGCCACACTCTCAACACATTTCCAGACACTGACAACTGTCCTCTGGAGGGCACAAAATGACCCTTAATGAGAATCGCCGTTTAAACCCACAGAGTCACCATGAACAGTGCTCTACACAGATAACCGATAGGAAACCCTAACTCCAGATACATGAGAGAATCGAGCAGCCAAGTTACACTCCAGACCTGGGTTCCTCCAGCCAGTTGCCAATAGCGTGCCAAATACAATGCACTCTGCAGACCATCAATAAGAATCACAGCGATGATGATGATGATGATTATGTTTAAGTGCATCTAAGAGTCTTCTCTATATTGTATTTCCCCCTCATAAGTCTGTGCGACACATGCTAATGCTACTCTTATTTTGAAGAGGAGGACACTGAGGCCCAAGAGACTAAATAACTTGCTCAGTAGTGTTATAATTGGAACTCAGATGGCCCAACCACAAAGCCCATGACCCCATGACCTTCCCATGGTGTGGGGCTGTGCCAAACCCACATGCTGGAAGCTGTTAGAGCACACTGCCCATGATGTAGTCAATAGCTATATGTAGCTATTGGATGTAAAGTAAACACCATGCCACTCTGGACAGCAGTCTGGCAGTTCCTTGAAAAGTTATCCAGAGTTACCCGTTGACCCAGTAGTGAGGTATCTACACAGAACTGAGAACAGAAGCCAGTGTGGTTTACACTTATCCCCCAGCACTGGGGTGACTGATGCAGGAGTGGTGAACCTCAGGCAGCTTGGCTACAAAGTGAGACCCTGTATCCAAAACAAAACAAAACAAAATCCGTGAGCCACCAAGACGGCTCAGTAGGTGAGGACACCCCCAGAGAGCCTGGCCATCAGGGTTTCACTCCTCCAGGCTGCCCTCTGACCTCCACACCCACCATGCACATGCACCCGAATGCAGGTGTGCACACACATAATAAATAAACAAATGTGGGAGAAAATCAAAACATGTATTTATGCAAAAATGTCTACACCACTGTTCCCTGTAGCATTATCCCTGACAGCTTCAAACAGCCCAAACGACTACCAATTGATAAATAGATAAGTATAAAATATGGGGCATCCACGCCCTAACAAGAAACCAAGTGGGGCTGGGGAGATGGCTCCCTGAGAAGGAACATTTGTCCTGTAACCACGAGGATCTAAGTTCAAATCTCCCACACAAAAAATACTGGGCAGAGAGTGTGACCTGAGAACCCAGCACTATCAGGAGGAGCTAGGCAGATCCAAGAGCGCGGGGTCCAGTTAGTGCTGCCAAGGCAAGCTTCAGTTCAGTAAGACCGTCTCGAGGCAGTGAGATGGGGGACAGTCCTGCTCCAGCCCACATGTGTGCGCATGCACACACAGACCCATATCCTCATAGGCATGTACCACACACAAACACCACACACAAGGAAACCGATGCATGCCACAACACAGGGCAACTAAAAAGGCATTATGGTCAGTAAGAGACACCAGTCTGGGTCCCTGCTTTATATGAAATGAGCAGAACAGGCAAGTCCAGGGGAACAGAGGGACGAGCAAGTGCTGAGGCTGGTGGAAAGGGAGGTGGGATGGGGACTGCTAGCTGTCACGGGCTTCCTTTTGAGGGTGACAAAATGTTCCAAAATGTTAGAGAGCAGGGGGACGGTGACGTGATTCTGCGACCATATGAAAATAGGTAACTTATTAGGTAAGCTTTATTGTTGGTTTTGAGGCAGCCTTGGCTGGCCTGGAACTCACTATGTAAACCAGGCTGGCTTTGGATTTTATGTAAGATTTTAAAGGTGTGAAAATATAATAAAAATGATAAACCAGGCGGTGGTGGCGCAAACTTTAATCCCAGCACTTGGGTGGCAGAGGCAGGCAGATCTCTGTGAGTTCGAGGCCAGCCTGGTCTTGTAAAGAGAATTCCAGGACAGCCAGGGAGCTACATAGAGAAACCGTCCTGAAAAACAAAACAACAACAAAAAGATATAAAAATGAAATATGGTTTCAAACTCAGTTTCTCAGGTACCTTAGCCAAAATACAAGCACTGACAGGCACAGGCAGCAGAGCAGCCACTGAACTGCACAGCCCAGGCAGAAGTCCCTTCCAACACCACGGAGAGTGCCACCAGAGACCACAGGGCTTCCTCAGCACTTCACCAAAGCCGCCTGGCCTCCCTGGCCACATCTGACTTTTCTGACTGCACACCTCCACTCAAAGCTTCCACACGAGCCGGACATCACCGCCCATGGCTCTCCGGTTCCTCCTCCCTCACACTCTGCCCATTTCTGACGCCCAGTCTCTTGCCGCAAGTGCATCAAGTCCAAATGCCTACGTCTCCATGAAACTTCCCCTGGCTGCTCAGCCTCCACCTGCCCCGCAGAGTCCAAGGCTTGCCCCTCATCCTACGTTTGCGGCTCCACTCAAACACAGTCCTTCCGGATTATAACTCATGTGTGCTTCTCCTCCTCCACTCCCGATTACCAGATCCTTGAGGTAAGAAGGGATTCTGATGGTTCCCAGAACCTGCTGGAGTTCAGAAATATCCACTAAGTGGAATTCTAGCAGAAAGGTTTACAGAACTCAGGAAATGATTTTCGATAAAAATGCTCACTTTGGAACAGCCAAACAGTTTATGAAAACAAGGAAAAGGGGCTAGCTTCTGTAAGGCACACAATCCTACTGTTCTACAGGAAGTTACGAAAGTGACCGCCCTGGAATGTTATTTGTATGACCAGAGACGTTCAAGGCTATCCTAGACTACACAGCAGGTTCAAGCCTGGCTTGGGCTCCACGAAACTTTGCCTCCAGATAACAAGAGAGAGGGTGTGGAGGGCGGAGCTGGGCGTGTGGTGCTTCCTGGATCCTAGTACTCAGAGGTGGAGGTGCGAGCATCCCAAGTCGGCAGCCTGGGAATGGAGCAGGGGTTCTAAACTAAAACCTAAGCCACGAGAGACAAGTAGAGCTGGTGTGAACTTGAGGGGCGTAGTGAGAAAAAGCAGGAATGAGGCCCAACTGAACTCCAAGTTTTGAAGTTGGCAGAGGAACTGTAAAGATGGCATCTGCCGGTTGTCCCCAGACCACGGGATCACCTATGGATAGAGACCTTTCTACTAAAACTTTAAACAAACAACATCAGAAGGAAAGGAACTCTCCATCATCTCAAGCATAAATTAACTGGAGGAAACAAATGCCAAGGCCTTCCTGTTTGCAAACTGCAGCTTTTTTATTCTTTTCAGATTCAAGGAATCCCATCTGTGAGTCACGATGCCCTATGAGAGAGTTCCTAATTGTAGGAGTCCCTAGGCTGGTGAACTTTCCTGGTCTGCACGGCAAGAGACGACCATTATGAAGAGCTGGTAACAGGAAAAGCCACCCATAAATACATATATTTCACATATTCAGTGTGCATATAGCTGGGCATGGTGGTATACACCTGTAATCCTACCACTTGCAGGCTGAGGCAGGAGGATCACAGGAAGTTGGTGATCAGCCTGATCAACACACTGAGTTCCAACCAGGGCTATAGCTAATAAGATCCTGTCTACAGCACTCGGGAGACAGAGGCAGGCGATCTCGATGAGTTCGAGGCCAGCCTAGTCTACAGAGGACAGTCAAAGCTACATAAAGAAACCATGGCTTGAAAACAAAAACAAAACATAAATAAATAAATAAATAAATAAATAAATAAATAAATAAATAAATAAATAAATAAATAAATAAATAAATAAATAAAGGATCCTGTCTAAACTACACCCACCCACCCCTACTCTGGCCAACACAGATCCTACCATGTGGCCCAGTGGTTAGACTGCTAAACCCTGTAAAAAAAAAAAATAGAGAAAGATGGCATTTGACAGATTGATTTCAGAGAGGGAGATACAGTGATGTACCCATAGCACATTCCACACAGAGTTCAAGGTCCCACCGGAGTGACCTGGGGGTCACTATAGAAATGAAGGACTGAAGGATGTTCCCTGACAGATGCTCTCTGCAACAGTTTCCCTTGCTGACATGTACAAAACCAAAACCCCAAACAAAAACCCTAAACTGACTAAGCTGTGTTGGATTCAGAGTTAATAATTATATTGTAACTTCCATTCCAAAGGTTAAAAACCAAACCACAAATTTCACCATAGATAGCTGGCATCGCTGATTGGACGGAAGGACCGGGGGAGAAGGGGCGAGTGTAAAGGGTGTCACGGGGACGTGTGGAAAGGGTAGGGAGGGGGGTAGGCAGCGCCTAACAAAAACTTTCCCTCTCCACAGGAACTGGACGTAAGCACACGACAGCTGTGCTCAGTGCCAGCACCCAACCAAACGGAACGAAGTACAAAAGCCACCCTGTCCCCAAAATGAGTACTGGAAGTGCCAGAAATGTAAGAAAGCAGCCTGTGACTGACAAGCTGTGATTAGAACCATACACGGAAGACCCTTCCCACATCTCACCATCCCCAGCTCAGGATGTGGCAGGAACCACCACTTTCCGATTCTTTTCCTTGAAGAAGGGGATCTGGTTCCTAGCAACCAGCCCACCTCGAAAGGCTCCACATTCCTAATCAACCCCACCAGCAAAGTGACTGAAGGACTATAAGGAACAGCCCTCAGAGACAGCCACAGAAATGGAAGAGCAAGTTCATTCCGTTTTCTCTTCTGTCAATACCTGTACTTAACTTTACGGTCCTGCCATTTATAGTTTTAACCAAGAAAACCAAGAACCTCGACAAAAGCCCTAGACAGGAACATATTCAAGGTCCTTCGCGTCTGATTCCCCAGATAAACATACCCCAGCCCATTAAGACACAGTAACAGATGAGCTGACAAACTGTAGCATACACACAAAGGGGAGTGTTATTTGGTCACAATATGGATGAACCTTAAAAACATGATGGTATGCGAACATTACACAAACTACCCAGAACAGGTCAATCCACAGAGGCAGAGCGCATGCAGACTGGTGGTGGTCAGAGCTGGGGGCGGGTGCGGGTGTGGAGACAGGGAGTAACCAGTTATGGGGACAGGCTTTTCTTGGGGATGATCCAGCTGTTTGGGAACTAGACAGAGGCGGTGGTTGCACAACATGGGGAATGTACTGAATGCCACTGAGCGATTCGCTTTAACACTGTTGGTTTTGTGGCGTGCATGTCAACGCACTGAAAAATCTATCAAATCACAGAACTTGGGGGGGGTGAAGGAAAAGGATCTTGAGTTCAAGGCCAGCCTGACCTACATAGCAAGATCCTGTCTCAAACAACACAAAACTCAATCATCTGCGGGTTTTGCTTTTTGTCTTAGGAAGAGGACATTCAGGAGCAAAACAAGATCCGTGTGTGACAGGGCTGCCCTGAAGCTCTAAGGGAAAGGCATGGACTTCACTAGCCATTCCTGCTCTTCATCAAAACAGCCAAGTGTTCCGTGGTACAGGCTGTCCCTGCACTGTCTGGGCATGTGAGTGCTTTTCTGAAAACCAGACAATGAAGGGAATAAAGTGAAGAAAATAAGATGAGGGGACCGTTGCCAAATTGAACAGAGGAGGGGTTATTCCCCTACAGCACCCCACCCAACTTGGCACCAAGAGTAACGCTTCAATTAGGGTTTCGAAACAGCTAGCCTGAGCTAGAATCAGCACAAGCAAGCTTCCCTGACTGGACAAAGAGCAAGCCACCCAGCAAGAAAAGCTAGGGCGCTCCATTTGCTGCATCAGAACCACCTTTTGCTCAAAAGCTCCGAGCTGGCTCAGATCAGCACCAGTGACTTATTCTAACCAGGACAGCCAGCCTAACAGCACGGGCTTCTCACAGCTGGGATGTGCCCCTCCTCCTGAGGGGTTCCACTCTACCTCAACCCCCCTCCTGCCTTCCAAGAACCCTACCTCCAACAACATACCACCAACGTGCCATGTTTTGCAGCACTAACTAAAATAGAGCCAAGATGCCCTCAGAATTTTCCTTTGTCCAGCCTGAAATAAATATCCTGCCGGACCCTCCTCCCTCCGGGGCCAGTTAGTAACCTGTGATCCCTACACACACTGGTGTGCACACAGTCTCTGGCTCCTGACTCCACTGCGGAGCAGAAATGAGCCCCACAAGCGCCACTGTGCATCAGTATCCAGGAATAGTCCCTCCAGCGCACCTACCATACCTGCCCTCTCAGAAGACCCTCAAGTCGCCTGGCACCATTGCCTCTGACATCCAAATCGTCACAGGTGTCCCTCAGCTAAACACCAAAGCCCCCTTCACCCTGTCCATGCTAGGCATGGGCGTTCCTCCCGAGAGGACTCAACTCTTTGCAAACAACCCTCCCTGACACCCACTCCAGCCAGGCCTCGACCACCCCGGACCCCCAGGCTGGCCCAGATGCCCTCCCCTTACCTGCGGGGGCTCAGCCCTGACTGACAGGGAGCTGGGCAGCGCCTGGAGGAGCAGGAGCGCCATGCCACCCAGGAGCCTTCTCCTCTCCATCCCCCTCCTGCTCCTGCTCCTCCGCCACGGCGCCGCCACCCCTCCTCCTCCTCCCTCTCTTCTTCCCTCTGCTTCCTTCTTCCCTTCTTTTCCTGTTTCGCTCTCCCCTCCCGCTTCCGGCTCGGCTCCACCCCGCCCCAGGCAAAATGCCCTCCCAGATACGGAGGAGGGTCTCGAGCTCCCGCGCCTCATTGGCTCCTGTCTCCCATCCATTGGTCCAAATAGCTGTGTGTCTAGTGCTAGTCCCAGCCCCCCTCGTGCTGGGTGATTTAGCCAATGAAAAGTGGGAGGAAGCCGGGCCATCTTGAATGCTGCGAGGTGCATAAAGTGCAGTGCACCCCGCCCCGCAGAGAGTGGCGGAAGTACCGAGAGCCCGGCGACGAAACCACCCGGATGCATTGAAAAGGTTTACCGTATGTAGCCATTTTGAGTGTGGCGGAAGTGTTAGGTTCCAAGTTAGGGGGTGGGAAAAGGAAAAGAAAAAAAGAGGTGGTGAAACATGATTCTAAAGGGTACTTCTAAAGAGTAAAACAATTGCAATCTAAAAGTTTCTGGTCCCTTTTGTATTAAAGTACAGGCTATTATCAGGATCCCTTTTCCAATCTCATTAACCAAGCAGCAGCTTAGGTCCATTTGAATTATCTATTAGATAGTAACTCTATTAGAGACAGTGCTCTGCCATCCCAAATTTGTCCTAAGGACAAAACTCTTAGGACTCTACTCAGAAACAGCTCTGATATCCACCACTCATCGTTTCAGCCATGTTAACTTCTGGCTAATTGAAAATGGCTTCCCTATGCCGGGCAGAGGAGCGGCTTCTCCACCCTCTCAGGTCCCAGCCACACACCACGTCGACATTACTAGTCCACACAAACCCAATCATTACTATGTAGCAGCCTCCCCTTTGACAACGCTCATCCCACTGGGTGGGGGGTGTACCGCTCTGTGGTAAAATGGCTTGCCCATATGGGCAAGGCCCTGAGTTGAGTCCACAGTGTGAGCCATAAGGAAAAAAAGAGAAAGGGAAGAAATACGGGTAGCCAAACGGTGGGGGCACACGCCTTTAACTCCAGCACTCAGCACTCAGCAGGTGGATAACTGCGAGTTCAAGGCCAGCCTGGTTTAGAGAGTGAGTTCCAGGGCAGCCAGGGCTACATAGACCCTGTCTCTGAAAAAACAAAAACTATCTATGAGAACAGGCATGCCAAGAGGCTTGAAGATCTGAAAGCTAAGGAAAGCTGATCTTTACAGGGAATACAGAGAGAAAATTCTCTCAAGTTCTAGTGTTTCTTTTCTCGTATGTCTGTGGAATAGAAAAGCTGAAACCAAATCTCCCATCTTTAAAAAGCTGGCTGGAAGCCTGGTGGCAGTGGTGCACACCTTTAATCCCAGCACACGGGAGGCAGAGCCAGGCAGATCTCCGTGAGTTCAAGGCCAGCCTAGTCTACAGAGCGAGATCCAGGACAGGCACCAAAACTTACAGAGAAACCCTGTCTCGAACCCCCCCACCCCCACCCCCAAAAACAAGCTGGCTGGATGGGCTGGAGAGATGGCTCAGAGGTTAAGAGCACTGGCTGCTCTTCCAGAGGTCCTGAGTTCAATTCCCAGCACCCACATGGTGGCTCACACCCATCTATGCTCTCTTCTGGCCCGCAGGCACACATACAGACAGAACATTATACATAACAAATAAACAAATCTAAAAAAAAAAAAAAAAAAAAGTTGGCTGGAAAACAGACTTTCCTGCTCACATACCATGTATCAGCCAATATCAAACTTCCCATTATAACAAGGAAACCTGTAAACATGCTAAGTGAGAGAAGCCAGAAACAGAAAAGAAGGCCACAGTGTGATTTGAAGACAGTAAACAGATGATGAGCTGGAAGGGGATGGGACTGAGGGAATGAGGAGTAACTGCTAATGAACTTGGGGTTTCTTGGAGGAGGGATAATGAAAGTACTCTGAATTACAGTAGCAACAACTGTACAACTTGTGACTGGACTAGAAAGGACTAAATCATACAATTTTTTGTTGTTGTTTGTTTTTCGAGACAGGGTTTCTCTGTGTAGGCCAGGGTGGCCTCGAACCCACAGAGGTCTGCCTGCTGGGACTAAAGTTATGCGCCACCACTGCTCAGCTTTAAATCATATAATTTAAGAGATCAATTTGGCTAGGTGTGGAAGAAAAGATAGGAGTCCAGGACAGCCTGGGCTCCATCCAAAAGAAAACATCAGGCCAGGCGTTGGTGGCGCACGCCTTTAATCCCAGCACTGGGGAGGCAGAGGCAGGAGGATCTCTGGGAGTTGGAGGCCAGCCTGGTCTACAGAGTGAGTTCCAGGACAAGTGCCAAAACAACACAGAGAAAACCTGTCTCGAAAAACCAAAAGAAGAAAAAGAAAAGGAAAGATCAGTTTCATGGTGTGTGTGTTACATTTTACATTTTAAAATGGGTGTGCAGTTAACTGCAGCTGCAATCTTGGCATCAAGGACGCACTGTCCTCCAGTGGGACCGTGTGGTATCAGATCAACATGACCAGCATTACAATGAGCACACCTGCACATCCTCAGGCTCCACCCACAGAACTGGAAGCTGGGGTGAGCCTTTCCGCTTGTGTTTCTCAGCATCTTTAGGAGACCCTGGGGTACAGTTTTCCTCTTTGTTGCTCTGGCTGGCCTGGAATGTGCTATGTAGACCAGGATAGCCTCAAACTCACGAAGATCCACCTGCCTCTGCCTTCCAAGTGCTGGAATTAAAGGCGTGCCCAGCCCGGCCTACTATACGTTCCTAAGAGCCACAGTTGCAGGGTAGGGGAGACTTATGTTAAAACTTTATATGACACATATACAAAGTCTCCGCCACATGTTTTAGATTCTCTCTCTCTCTCTCTCTTTTTTTTTTTTTTT